CTCCTTCTGTTATATTAGCCTAACCAGTTTAAGATAAGGTTTTCTCATTTTACAATAAATTCATGAGTTGGAATTATTGTACGGAACTGTGCATAGGTAGAAAGGCATTTTTTAAAACAGTGATTTCCACTAGCAGTACCTCATCAGCTTGCTTCTAAGCAATCCTCAAAAGAAGAGCTATTGACAGCTTTGCCAACGAGTGGTTGCTTTTGGCATCGGAATACTTAAGAGTGATTCAAATAGAGACGAATAAGGGCAAGGTTTTAGCTTTTGTCTTTCCCTCCTTTCGTAAAAAATTTCATTGTCTAGATTTTGCAATCTATGAATTAAACTTTTTGCTCATCAGCTGTTCTTTGCTACTTTTCAGCAAATTTTATTATCACACGAATTTTCCTTTTAAATAAATTTTTATCTTTCAGCAAAGTTTTTTAATATTTTTTCGAATTTTTTCTATTGAAATTTCAAGCTCCCCGAGAGAAAGTGAGCGATTTCTTTTACTTCATTTTTTCTAAGTGCCACTCTGATTTAATATCACAAAATTTTTGCAGATGGCACATGTTGTGATTGTACTACTGGTAGTATGTGCATGTTTCCAATACGGATGCAGTCAAGCGGGTTATAGCGATCTACAGATTGAAAAGCTTTACAAAAAATTTCTCAAAAAGTATGTTTTCTGTAAGAATTGCTGTGGTAGAGAAGCTGACATTTTTGTCCTCGATACTCCCAGTTTTCCGCGCCCAAACCTCTCAGTTTGCTGTCAGTGATGTACTTATACATGCCATCTGCTTTCGTCAGTGACCACGTTTCGCAACCTCAAATCATTGCCTCCAGAATAATTTTTTTGAAAAAACGGGCACAGTCCTGCCGGTTCGACATTTCAGTAACATTGATGATGCAGACGTCGAGCATAATTCACTGATTGCCGACAGTACAAGCGATCTTTCAAACGGTTTACGCGAAAGGCATTTTTACTAAAGGACAGGAAAACTAATTGGCAAAAATGCAAATTATCATGCAAATTTCAGATATCCACGTGACTTTGGAAATGATAAGACGAGTTATTTGGAGCGTTTGAAAATCTTTAAAGAGAACATGCATCTTATCGATGCATCAAACAGTGAAAATACCACAGCAGTTTTTGAAGTTACAAGATTTGCCGACTGGACTGACGAGGAATTCAACGCGGTTTGTTTACATCATCGTTATAAACATGGTCGTTCTGGATATTTTCGGTCTGAAATCCATAATGTTACCAAGTTTCGACTGGGCTCAGTATTAGATCCTCACGTAGCCTTTGACTGCAGCAGCGAAAGACAATGAAGAGCGCCAGTACTTTAATCTCCAACAAAGCTTGACCTCAGTAAAAACGAGCCGAGGTGCCGCACAAGCTATTCAGCAGAAAGAGGACTCTAGTCGAGTCGAGACGGCCAGTTAGTAGCGTTAGTAGTAGCAAAACATGGCAGACCAGTGGCGCGCGTTGATTTCGAGACTAAGAGCTCTGGGTTTTCGGAAGGGGTTTATACAGGGAAAATTAATGGGGCGAAATGGAAGGCAAAGATAGCTAATAAATGAGAATGTAGGTAATACGGAATTATTTAGAATATGGTGGAAGTGTTAGAAATTAGTGGGTGGAAGGAAGTAGGTCGAATTGTAGGATTACACCAGGAGAAACATGCGAGCTACTTTTTTTGAAACCTGATGCCTCTAACTACTTTTCGCACTGTTCAGATAGTCGTCCGAGCAATATTCGTGGTTCACGTTTGGTTGAAAGTACCACTGATGCGATTACTTCCGAAGATTTCTTACGCGTTCACTGTTTCTTGACCTCTCTGTTATGCCACTGTCTCTATTCGCGTGCAAGCCGAAATAATGTTTAATGAAATATTGGTTTGGTGGGGACTGTGGGCAAAATCTGTGAATTTTCCAGTTTTCGGGTCCACTGGTGGATTCGAATCGTGTTTACCGTAACGACGAAGATGGCTGGATTCAAGTGAGCTGGGATGGTTCCAACTATCCACCACACTGGGATTGGAGAGATTATGAAGGCGTGACTGCGATCAAAACACAATGTTCGTTTGAAATTTCTTCAGTCAAATTGAACTTGCAAATTAAGATTCAGGGAGATTTACTGCGTACCACTTAGAGAAGCTTTTATTTATCATATTGGATTTAGATATGATTTTAGCCTGAAGTTGCTGCTGGAATAATAATTCAGGGCACAGCAACAGGTAGAAACTGATTTTGGGTTACTGACCTTACAGCAGGAAAAAAAAACAAATCTTTAAAAATTTGTGTCCTATAGCTTTCGTGCTTCTCGAGTTGTAAAATCAGTCTGCATTTGGAGCTTAGGTCACAAAAGGCAGAAAAAGATGTGAG